CCGTGGGAATTTTTCGCAGCTTATTTTAAGTGCGATTCACTTGGATTTTCTTTTAATTTCCGGTTATTTCCGCCACAGAGGTGCGTGAATATCATATGTAATTAATAATTTGCGGTAAAGTGAACATGTAAAAACAGGCATATGTATATATTTATATTATTTATTTGGCACAGGAAATGGGCTGTAATACAGAGCATATAAATATGATAAATTTAGGCGGTGTGGACTGAAGAAGAAAACTTTTCTACGACATGGCTTTACAACTTTCTCTTGCTGCATTTATATAAATGTTAAATTTGCCTATATTTATAAAATAAAAGGAAACTATATCTCCCATTAAGAAATTTTCTATCATGCAATCGCCAAAAGTGTTATTATATAGGTTATATTAAGGTTACCTACTAGCTTACATAGTTCAGCTACCTCAGTTACCTCTCTGCTCACCTTTGCCCGTGAGCGAGCGGTTCAGTGTTGATTAACGATAATTTCCGTCTAGCATGCTTTCATCCAGCACAAGCTACCATAAGCCTGCTTGATTGCTGGAATAAACATATGGTTTGGTTAACTAATCGCATCTTATTGTATAATAATGGGTAAGAAGGTCAAGGGGTATAAAGTTTCCCAATGGAGGAAAATGTATGCAAAGCTTATTTGTGTGGAGTTATTTTTGTAGCTAAGTTTTATATACCCGTATGTAGGTATTAAAATCGCTAAGAGCGCTGAGGTGAAAATTTAATAAAAAAAAAATTTTGTAAATATTTACTAAAATAAAAAAACACCCTTAGGTAGGCATTGAGCATTTGAGAAGGTGAACAGAATCTCTTTAACAGGACCAATGTAGGTACCAATCAACAACCTCTCAAACTAACTAACTGCACTCAAAATAGTTTGCAAATAAAAAAAAAAAAAATGTCGAAGAAACTATAAAAAGGAAAATCACAAAAACTTCCCGCATTTATAAAATGAGTTAAATTAAGACTGGTTACAAAAATATTCACGAATTAACTACTTCAGGAGCAGTACGCACACAATTTTAGCAATATCTCAAATGAATGACAATTTGTGAATATGCAATTTATGTTAAGTTTTTTATTGTAAGAAATCACAAAACAACTTTAGCAAATAAATCCCTAAAAATGTTGCAACTTCAGAAATAAATAAAGATTCCTTTAAAGTGTCAATCTCTCAAGTAGAACATGACCTTAATAAATTAAGTATAGGTTCTTTAAGCAAATTATAAATGTTTCAACATCTTAAATTTTTTGCTAAAAAAAATCAGCTTTCTGCTGAGGGTCATAATTAAATCTAGATGAAGTACAGAATGGAGTTAAACAAACAATGTGAACAGAGATTTATTCAAAATTTTACTGAGAAATTACGGCACTGGCTTTTCAATCAATCATTAGGAAGTAAATGACAAATCAAAAAACGTTTAATATAAAATTTGAAGAATTATAAATACAACTACGAATTACAATAAAAAATTAAAATTGGAATAACATAAGAGAGAATGGTCGGTCGCCTGATTATGTTTGGTTTAGGATTTTTCAGCGGCTTTTATTTTGCAAAAAAGTGCAAGGGAAATTGATTATAAAGAGAAAAGGTAACGAAAAATTAAAAAAAAAAATTATTGTGTTTTCGTAGAAATGTGCACTATTTTTTGAGACTTTTCAGGAAAAAGAAATTATTTTTGGAACATTGCAAAATCAATCGATCAAGGATCCAACATTAGTGGAAACTTCTTCAACGTTACCATGTACTATAAATACGAAAGAATTTGTACATTTATTTTTGGTGTGCTTGTTGGCTATTTTGTTTTGCCTAAAATTAAATAAAAAAATTAAATAAATATGCAATAAAATTCAATTAATGTCATTCTTATTTTGATCACACGTCATGAGAGCCAGGATCGTGGGGTGAAACTTCGCTTTTGGTGAATTTTGTATGCTGATTCTCGATATATATGTGCATATGTATGTATATAGAGTATGTCCGTATATTTTCTTTTCAAATTAAATAAGTAAGCTGAGTACTGTCATTCAATTAAAGAATCATTAGTTTATAAACGAAGCCGCTTTAATTTTAGTTCACTCATAAATTAGCAGGTCCTATACAGTAATTCATACACAAACCACCAGCCAAGAATTGATAGAGCAATCAAGTGAAAATGCTTGTTTTCCTGCTCACATTCGGTATAGGTTTCGTGTGTGGCTATTATTATGCCAAATATTGTATATGAAGTTTGTTTATAAAGCAGGTGCCAGAAAAAAGTTAAAAAAAAAAATCAGATAAAATAAAAAAAATAACAAAATTATTGAAAAAAAAATGAAACATAAATTTGAAATAAAAAATTGAAAAAATATATCAGAAAATCAAGAACAACTGAAAAAAAACCTTCGAAAAATCTGTTTGAAGTTTCATGTTGAATCATGCTTGAAACTTTGATTAGATATACTAATATTATTTCTATTTTTCAACCGCCATCTTGCTCTGATTCTTAGTCGAAGCAAAGAATTGAAAAAGCAGCTCTTCTACAAGCTGTGCTCACACGATGCCTGGAAGAATTTGTACGTTTATTTTTGGTGTGCTTATTGGGTATATTTTATTACTTAAAATGCAAAAATAAATAAAAATTATACAAAATGCAAATTTTTCAATTGAGATTTTTTAAATAATTTTTTTAATACTATTTTTTTTTTTTTTTCAAACATATTTGGTAATTTTGTCATTTATCTATTGTTGTATTTCCTCTACTGAAGTCATTTTTTAAAGTATTGCTGTTTGACAACTTTTTGGGCTTTTTCAAATTATTTATGTAAAAATTTTTTATAAACAAATAGCAAACTAATTAAAAAGAAAAAATTGATTTCTAAATTTTTGTTTGTTCTTACTAAATTTCCAAAAAAAAGGAATTTTTGCTGAACAGCGTACGTAAATCTTACTGAAATGACCGAACCGTTGATAACATTTTGCCTTGGAGCTTTAGCTGGAGTCATATTTGTGTAAGCATAATAACGGTGTAATATCCACAACACGTTGAAAGATCGTCATATTTGCGGACATTCAGCTAAACGAGAGAATAATACAGCGAATTCTCTCAGCTTTGTAATTATATTAAAATTTTTAAATAGCTTACGGAGCTAAAATGTGCTTCAAATTCGAACGAAAGGATCTTAACAAAGCGATTGCCGAGATAGCAACACTTTCACATATATATAATAGTTAACGAGAGAGCGCAGGTTGTATAAAAATATTTTGCGAAAAAGAACGATTAGGAACGATTCCTAACGAGCCCATACATTATTTTTGAAATAAGACGCCACGCTTATCGTATAGATCGGACGAATTCCACAAATAAAACTTTATTCCAAAGTCAGATAGGCTTTTGCAAATATTATTGTTCCTTGTGATATTACGCGAAGGTCTTACAGCGCAAGTGGTTATAGCCAAGTTGGCATATTGTTTGCCATTCGTTTGAGTTTTTTATGCATAATTAGAGCATCGAGTAAAGTCGAGGCGCTCTCTATTTGGCAGAAGTACCCTTCTGCTTCAATCAACGGTTACTACAGCCCCCACTTTTAATCTGGAGTATTTTCACCTGAATGTACAACATGACCTAGACGGCTAAGTCAAAGACCATGTACAGAACTATAACACAAACTATTCAGCTCATCATTCTCCCGTTTACGGTTTTGGACGCGTTGATAATATGCGAGGATCCATAAATCGTTCCAAAAATTATTCGCCAAAACACTCAGTAGAATCTCATCGTCCAGGCCTTCATTGTCCTGACCTTCACACCATTTAACAATGCGGAAATGGTGAAAGAGTTGCAGAGTTTGAACTTTATTTGTCGAGAGGTCCTCAAATATCTACTTAGGTAAAAGGAGCATCTGCTCAAACGACTGGTTCTACGTTGCCTATAATATTTCTTCGGCTTACTAAAATCTAAATCTCTTAAACTTAGATCATTTAAAAAACAAAATTATGTGTCTCCTTGTATTTGCTTTATATCTTGTAACTCTGAGTTCATTCCGAGACAACTTTTGAAATTACTTTCATTTTGTTCGCAAATCGACAATACATTGCAAAGGCTACCAGAGCAACATTTCTAGGGAATAACTGATCTTAAGACGGTTGAAGACGTGAGTTGAATAGAAAGGTATAGGAAGAATGCTAACACTACCCGCATACACACAACTTTATTTCAGCTTAAGATTGAATCCTCAAAAATGAATTTCCCGCCACCGGGTGTGAGAGAGATTCAGAAAAGTGAATGTTAATTCTTGTTACCAGGATTAAAGAAATAATCTTTTCAAAACCAGATAAGATATTTTAATGTATAATTCGAAGAATATTAGAAGCAGTTTCTAAAGGTTATCTTACTGGGGTATAATTTAAAATTATTTACATGTTCACTTTCGGTGGCTCTAGCAGTCGATTAGGTAGCCAAATCGGTAAGTCAGAACCAAAGCCTTAAACTTTTTTCCTTAAACCGATCATGCTTTGGCAGCGTTGGTCAATATTTCCGCAAGGTATGCACTTCTAGCAGGGAATGTCAACCCTTCCGAGTGAATTTCTGACATGAAATAAAAATTCCTCCCAAAGAAATCATTAACCCTCGGAGGCAGCTAAGTATAAACTGTAGGTCCCTCCATTTGTTGCGAAAAAACATCAAAATGCAAAACTAAAAATCGGAGAGAAAGAGCGGCCGGTTAAAAAGTGCAAATCATATATCTATATATATATATATATATATATGTAAATGTATATGTATTTCTAATATGAACCGAAATTACTCTCCTCAAACGCTTCAACTTTGTTTCCTCCTTCCATTTGCTGGAAAAATATCAAGCCACTGGTAAAGCTCGGGAAAGAGTCATAGTTTCTAAAGCATCAATTATTTTATACCTAGAGGTGTTTTTTTTTTGGCAATATAGGCTTTGATTTTCCTTTAAATATTTGATGATTATTTCAAAAACAGAAAGTAAAACAAATATTTTCGAATAACAAAACATACAATTTTTAATATTTCTCAATTTTTTTCCAACGCACGTGCATACATACATATTATATCTTCCATCAACTAACAACCATCTACCAGTAATATACTACAATCAAATCGAGTTGTCGACAGCATGATAGCGGATCGGCTGATAATATTTATTTTTGGTGTTGCCATTGGCTATTTTATTGTGCCGAAATTGTAGGTAATAAATTTAAACAAAATTCCAAAATGCATTGGCTTAAAACATAGCAAAAATAAAATGTGAATTACATAAAATATAATTAAAATTGTTTACTGGAAATATTGTTCAGACAGATTCATGACTCTTAATGCGCTAAATGATCAGTTTGTAAAAATTTCATTTATGTAATTCTTTTTCTACTTCCCACTCTTTGTATTACAACAAATATTGTAGGCTTTGCTTTTTAAAAAATTGTCAAAGCGAGTTGTTAATCAAAAATTTGTAGAATTTATATTTTTTCGAAAATATTTTGCTGATTTCCTTGCGATTCGATTGCCAGTTCCAGCGTCTTCAATCAAATTACCGTTAAATTGTGGCTTCTGTTTGTGATCTCTTATACGGATAAAAATGGATCGAATTATTTTATTTAGTCTTGGCGTTTTGGTTGGCTATTATATATTGAGAAAAATGTAAATCATGGAAAATGTGTGCTCGTCTCTGGAATGTGTTATTTCAAATTAAGTGTAGAGGAAAATAAAAATGTATGCTAAATGTTATAAAAATTATTTTTTCATTTGATTGTGGAGACCTAAAATGCCGTCCAGCGTTCTCAAGTTGGTGTTTGGTGACCTCAGGCTCAAAATGTATTTTCTGGGTCTGTCTAAGTATTCTTTGGAAGGCCAGAATATATTTATGTACATATACGTGTATATTATGTAGGAAGAGTTTCCCATCCACCATGCGAATAGAGCTTTTTTAAAGAAACATTCTGTCGACCTGCCCTTACAGTCACTTAGTAAATATATAGTTTAACGCACTTAAAATAAAAATATTATTTAAGTTGGATTCCCCTCACATTAACCAGCTGTTGTTGTAACCGCAAAACTATTTCCCAAAGTACTTTTTGGGGAATGTCGTGGAAGAAACAGTACTTGGCAGGATCAAAATTCGGGTAATTTCGGTATAAAGACCCGACTGCCGCGGGAACTATTGGATTTTTGTCGACTCCCCAACCGCAGGGCTACATTAACCAGCCCGTCCTATTTAGTGGCAGGTGTGGATTCAGCTCAATTTGTGCTAAACCGATCGCTGTAAACAACAATAACGTATTTTGTGATGCTTTTCTAGGTCTTTGAATTGGAAAGTTTCAAGTGTCTATGATGAGCTTCAAGTAAAACCACAAAGAAGAAGAAGAGGTTTTCTCGCGATTCAACTAACGCCTTTTTTAAGTCCTTTCAAAAAAAATAGTTTTCAGAGCCAAAAAATTAATTCGAATAACCGGACAAAGCAAATTTGCCTTGATTACCGGATATTAAGAGATCTACTCCGATTTGCTGGAACAAAATTATACAGGGTTATTCGTTCTTTGATTTCGAAAATAACCATTAATAAAATAGATTTCAACTAATTCTTTTGCAGGAAATTCCTTTTTTATTTGAACATTAAGATTATGTCATTCAAGCCTCATGAATTTTTGCATATTTCGATACGTTTGAGGTAATTTCCGATCACATTTTAGCACCCATTCTGTAGTGTTGGCATTCAAGTACTTCAGAGTTCGCGTAGTACTACAAAACAAAATGGGTGTCAAATGGCACGGTCTCAATGGCCTATTGACAGCGCCAGACTATATACTACACGACCGAGAAACAATAACTCCATATGCCTTCGTGTTATGTGTCATGTGGCACCATTTTGTTGAAACCACCTAATGGCAAGTCGTGTTCCGCAACTGCAGACAAAAAAAATTCTCTAAACATGCAACCAAGCCACACCTCCAGACCAAAGAGCGTAACACTCATCAACTATTCGCGGAATCTTAGATTCCCTAACGTGAGAATTTTGCATATTTACATATCCCCCAAGAGAGAAATGTGCCTCGAAAATTCCTTAAGTGGATCCAGATTTGATTTTTGATTCCGAGAACAATAAGTCCCAACTCTTGAGAGCATCGAGAGATGGATACAATCGGGACTTCGACTACACTTTTACTTTCAGTAACGATATTTGAGGTGGAAGGTGCAAAGCGGTTATGCACAATCCTTACAGTATCTGCAACTGATCCAATATCTTCAAATTTCTTTAAAGATGTATCGATTGCTCCAAATGTTGGGTGATTATGTGCGTCATAATCTCTCTTAAAGTCCGAAACGCAGCGACGTTCCTACCACCATTTTTGTGTTACATTTTAACAGTTTAAAGTGTTTTGCGGTTGTTAAGCGATCCAATTTTTAAATGTCTAACTCTTGACTAAAACAAAACGAATTTGGTTTGACAGTTAAGTTTGATAGGTGACCTGAGACAGCCTCGTACAACCAAGTAATGGCTACCGCTATTTAAACATGACTATGTCCAAGGACTCATCAAAATTTATAACGATTGGGCCAGATTGTCGAGATCAGTTGATGTTGCGATGCCCATTTATCCCTCTGTTTCTGTGCAAGCTAGAATCTCATTTTTAGAGATATTTCAACGAATCTTGATACAGAGTTGCACAAATCGTACATTTAAGTGACCAGATGGGATCACCTAAGAATATTTTTGACCGATTTTCTAGATCTGAGATGTCTTGTTATAAATTTGACAAAAAAGCATCGCACTCAAATGATAAACTAGAAATTGGTGCTGAAACTCATCGAAATGGGATGACCGATACACATAGCTTCTATATAACGATTTTTTCAGAAATAAAGTTTTTGATTAAAAAAAAAAGTCAGTCAAAAAAACATCAAAAACAATAAACATTTTCATCTAATAGAAAAACTTTACTTTATAATTTAATAATCATAATTCAAGCAATTTTTTGGATTTGAGAATTAATATTTAATATCTATAATAAATTCCATAAATTAGATGTGGTCATGAAAGGTACAAAGACTACGGCATGGCCGAATACAGATTTTCTTCTTGTCCTTTTTCTCAACAAATGGAAGGAGCTACAATTTATGCTAAGATGGCCCTAAACAGCCAATGGATTTTTATAAGTAGCTTTTATTTGATGCCAGAAATACACTCTGAGGAGTTGATATTCTAGCTTATAGTTTTAGATTCAATGGTGGTACGTACTTGGCTATCTCGCCAATTGGTATAACGAAAAAGTGAGGCGATGTAAAGTGTACTTCTTGTCAGGCCACAAGGAGCAGAAGCAATTTAAAAAGAACCGAACACTCTTTCCACCAATTAAGTTGATTTTAAATACACTCGCAATTGGAAATTTTCGATGTGCTGAGAACTGCTTCGAACAGAAATTTTTCATGAAAATAAAATCACTTTAAAACATTTGGTATAATTTATTCTGCTAAAAGAAAAACTCTTTTAATAAGTTTTTATAGTTGTAAAAAATTCATATTCGAAATTTCACATGCGCATATTTTTTAAAAATTTAATTGTGTTTTAAATAAAATCACTCATTTACACGTATGAAACTGTACTAATTTTTCGAATTTGTTTTTTTCTTTTCAGGTAAATAGCTAAAGCTTAAACGCTGTATCTTGTAGTTGTTGTAAATCTTATACAGAATTGTTTAACTTGAGCGTCTGTGGTATGTAGAAATTAATTATCAAAATTTCATACAAGTAGTTGTTTTTGTTACTGCAAGAATGCCATTTACATACATATGTACATACATTTACGAGTATATATGTAAACTCGTTAGGTTTGTATGTTGGTTTTCTGTGATGTACGAAAGAGTATGAGGAGGGACTTGTAATTATGGTTCGATTTCCTACAAACCCCGTTAATGGAAAACTTTTTGCTAAGATCAACAGGAAGACGAATCTTGTCTCCGCGTTTTGGGATATAGATCGGCCTTTTGAAAAAAGAGGCTTATTTATGGTTATTACTGGACCGTACTATTTTTTGAAAAATTTATACATTTTGATGGTTCGGTTTGATTAAACATTTGGATGATATGCCTAATTTGTGGTTCCTGGATATGAACCCGACACCTTGAGCTAAGTTCAATTTACTATAAATATTAATTACAGATACTTTCTTTACGAGAATGGGATCACCGATAGATTGAAAAAAATTAATATGATTTGGATGATTGAACTGCAGTGTGAATAAGCAATAGATGCAAATACGGTGTTGGGCTTACTGACTTTTTCGGTAAAGATTTTCAACCTTGAAGAGATGACGCACACATAGAAATAAGTAGTTAGATCAAAATTATTGTAAAAAACTTATTATTTTGAATTACAAATAAAGTCTAGAAAAACGCAAGCCAATATTTTGGTATTAAGTCGAAGGCTTTATTATTTTTATAGTTAGAATTATTCGATTTATGTCAAAGATGCACCATTTGGCGCGATCACCTTTTGCCACATAGAAGTTAAAGGCATTCGAGGGTGTTACAGAAACAGATTGTTGTCAGAGTCACAATTGAAACCGACAAAATTTTGCTGAGTTAGTTACGCAATCCGATTATTGATTTGCATTCATTTTCGAAACAGAATCCGTGTCCATTCTAGTTGTAACAAGAACCGATTTATCGGCTTAAATATCAGAAAATTAAATGTCAGAATTAAACCGAGCAGTTATTCGTTAACAGCACTGAGTGCAAACTTCTTTGCAAGCGGAAATTTAATAAAAGTGTGAGTCATTTATAATGGATTTTACAACTAGCAATGCCTGGAATAGCGTGCTTAATGTAAAAATGGTCCTGAGCTCTCCACTTTCACTGTCGTTCGTTTCTAAAATTATCCTGCGTGGACAGATAAATGTTCAAAAGCCTTTAGCAATTCTGTTATAGCCACAGAAACTCTAGGTCGCGCTAAGGAGATATTTGAGGGCCACAGAACGTTAATTGGAGCCTTCTGCCAAAAACCGCGGTGCGGCTGCGAGTGGGAGCACATGTGGGATAGACAGCCTATCTAACTTGTCTTCAATGACATCCAACACTATTACAAAGGCTTCTTTGTTAAGACGAAATTGCGCTATATGTGTCTCTACACACAAACAAATTTTGTATCAGCAAATTAAAAAGTAGAATGCAAGTCGCGCTTACATCGCCTCTGGCAGCTCCAGCGGGTTGCTCTTATACTCTAAAAGTTTGCGCTTTATTTTCTGGATGATTTCTCCAAATCCTTCTGTCATCAAAAATGGTACCATCGACGAAGTCATTTTATTTTATTTATTTTATAAAAATCAAAAATGTATTAAAACCAGTAGGGTTTCTTGCTGAATTGAATATCGGTTTTGCTTATCTTTGGAAAAAGTAAAATTTAGTCGGTTTCAAACAGATATTGATTCTCAATTAAGATAAAAAAAAAAACAATTTTGTATCGGTTTCCACAAAAACCCTGATTGTGCACCTTTTATAGTAACCTTTACCCCTTGGGCAAAAAACTGGGACAAACGATTTTCACAGACTTCCCTTATCACCCAATCTTAAGCAACCAACTCATTCGCCATAAGGTTTAAGCTTAAGAAACTCCCACCCAGGTTCTCAGTGCTTCCGGCGAGTCATTACCGCTTTGTTTGATCTGGCGTTATGATACTGAAACTCAATCTCCCTGCTGTTGGTTTCTGGATGACTACTGCCTTCAAACGGTTCAATTGCTGA